CTCATCTGCTGCTGCACAGTTTGTGTTGGTCATCCTCTAGTCCTTCATCAGTGGTCACAGGACGCTGCCCACAGGACGCTGTTGGCTGGATATTTTTGGTTGGTGGACTATTCTCAGTCCAGCAGTGACACTGAGGTGTTTAAAAGCTCCAGCAGCACTGCTGTGTCTGATCCACTCATATTATTATGTGCAGGAGAAGCTGTTTTTGTTACTTATTTGAAAATTGTGGCATTCAGACTGCACTGATGTTTGAAGGTCCACACTCTTAGTTTACAAATGAAAGTACGGCCTGATGGTGAACTAATGGAGGCCCAAGTGTTTAAAATCTTTCCATCCTTTATGAGCTTCAAAAACTTTTCTGCCTGACTATCAAACTGCACTTGACAGAATAACGTTAAGTGACCCTTATTAGTCCCACAACGGGGAAATTTCACCTTCACATTTTGACCCATCCATGCAGTGAAACACCACATACACACTAGTGAACACACACACTAGGGAGCAGTGAGCACACCTACCCAGAGCGGTGGGCAGCCCTATCCATAACGCCTGGGGTTGGGGGTTAGGTGCCTTGCTCAAGGGCACTTCAGTCACGTACTGTTGGCTCAGGAGATCAAACCGGAGACCATCCGGTCACAAGGATGGTTCCTTTTTATTAAAATTACCTTAGTTGTTAAAACTAGGGTGGCAGTACTCGAGTCCTGACTCGGGACGTTTTGATGTTGTCTCGGACTTGTCTTGGACTTGATAGTACTTGGACTTACCTCGGTCTCGGCCATCAGTCTGGCCAAATTAAATCCTCTAGTCTTGACTAAATCTGACTACTGTTTAAAAAATAACCTTTCTTTTAGTGGTCACAGGTGTTTGCTGACTCACACTTAACCAGCTCAGGGGTTAAACTGGACCAGTATGAACTGAAGCTTTAGCAGCTTTGGTTCATCTCAATGGCAAACGCAGCTCCGGTGCTGTAATCTGGTCTTCATGAAAACCATTAAACTATTCAGTGTGATAACCACAGCGATAAATGACCTTGGTATTGATATTAAAGATGACGCCCCATTTAGACTCGGGCCCAATTCCTTTTCACCCTTCGCCCCTACCACTGAGCCCTTAACCCTCTGTTTTGCGCGTTCACGTCTAGGGGTAGGGTGTCCCAATTCTTGTTGAGATAGAGGGGTAGGGCGAAGTGTTGGGGCTACATGACCCTCCAAATGGAGGTTTTTCAGAGACTCCAAACAGAGAGTTATGAGGAAAAAAAGAAAAACTGCCAAGATGGCTGAACAAGAGACCAAAGAAACCCACAAATGTGAGAATTTACTCCGTTAAAAAATTACGATAACCACTGTATTATCTTAGTTTAATGTCGTTTCAGTGTATTTTGGTCGTTTTCTTCATAACAAGCATAAAAAATCACTAATAACATGCTAATGTCTCTGTAGCTGGCTAACTTTCCCATTCCACCTTAAATAGTCCAGCAGTTCTGACGCCTGAAGCACCAGAATGTAACTGCTGCTCCATTTAAGGTGGGACGGGAATATTCGAACAAGAAGCTGGTGAATATCTGACCTCAGCTTCATATCACCAAAGAATTAGCGGTGGGCGATAATAAATAATTGCCCCCCTCTTTGAAGGCATATGATTCCCTAAATGTAACTAAAGCCCAGCAGTGAGGAGCTGAACTTTACCCTCTTCTGCTGTCACTGCAGACTGGCAGGGTCGCCTACAGAGCAGCACTGGTAGCTGTTAATGAAGTAATTTTTTTGTCCCATTTCAGAGAGAAGATTTCGACCACTACCCCTTGTAACTCAGTTCCAAGAGGTTAGGATGACACTCGAAAACAAGGGGTAGGGGTGAAAAGAAGAAATGGGACTGGGCTTAATGACTTATCTTGGACGTGACAAAGGTGGTCTTGACTACAGCCCCAGTTAAACCCACTGATGGTACAGTCCGCTTCACAGTTTAAAATTTATGAGGCCAAAGCGAGGATAGGACTCACTAATGCATCCAGCAGGTATAGCTGGAAAAAGAATATAGGACTAACCTACACTGAACCCCTCTGCCTTTCTTGGATCACACATGTCTGCTATAAACTGGAGGAAGCTATTCTGCTGCCCATATGGTGTATTAACATGTGTGTCCACCAGACTCTTCTTACTATCACGGAGAACGTTGGCCATGTCACTGGTAAAGCTGTAGTGCGTATTTATTACTCTATAAGAGATTCCTCTGTAAATACCTTGCAGACTGTCTGGGGGTGTCTGGGTTTCCGTAAATACTTTGCAGACATGCAGTCTTTTATGTACAAGCCAAAAAACAAAAAGGTCTTATTGTCCAGCTTTATTTAGGTGGAAAGAAATGGACCCAGGAGCATTATTGTAACCAAAAGACATTGTCTCAGGCTGGTTAAACCCAAAACCTTGACTTTGGTCTACTGGTCCACTGGGCAGTGTGGTACAGTACGGTTACTTATCCATGGTCACACATTTTGTCATCATTTCCACTGCCAAGAGAACTGTACCATACCTGAGTGCAGGTGCTGAACATTCACTACCTTTCACATGCTAAGCATATTGAACCGGAACGTATCGGTGGACCTAATAAATAATCGAGACTCTGTAGACAGACTAACCAGCTGTGTGTCAGATATTTCTCATTGGATGTCGAAAAATTTTCTACAGTTAAATCATGAAAAAAACTGAAATATTAATCATTGGTACAGAAACTGAGAGCAAAAAAAAGATTTATGAGAAACTTCGTTCTTTAGCTTCATATACCAAACCTGAAGTATGAAACCTGGGTGTGATCTTAGACTCTGAGCTCTGTTTTATCTGCATGTAAACACAGACACAAAAGCAGCTTTTTATCACTTAAGAAAAATGACTAAAGTTTGGCCTTTTCTCTCTCAGAGCGACGCAGAGAGACTTGTTCATGCATTTGTTACGAGCAGAGTTGATCACTGTAATGATCTTCATACTGAATCTCCTAAGAAAACAGTGCATCCCTTACAACTCGTACAAAATGCGGCAGCATCCTAACAAAAACAACAGAGAGAGATCAGATCAGTCCTGTTTTAAAAGAGCTGCACTGGCTGCCTGCATCGTTCAGGACAGATTTTAAAGTTGTGATACTAGTTTTTAAAGCTCAAAATGACCTTAAAGCTCCGCTTACATCACAGAGTGTCTGTCTGTTCATGATCTTAGATCTGCAGATACTGAACTTCTACAAACACCTTCCAGAAAACATGGAGAGACTCTTTCAGTTATTCTGCTTCTAAACTGTGGAGCTCAGTTCACCTTTTATTAGACAGTCAAACTCAGTGCTCACTTTTAAGAAGCATCTAAAAACGAATCTCTTTAACTCAGCATTTAAATAAAACTCTGTCTCATAGTGTTTCTTTTAACTTGATGTTTAATTTTCTTCTGATTCTAAATAAATACTTTTATCATCTGTCTGTAAAGCACTTTGAGCTGCCACCAGCATGAAAAGTGCTATATAAATAAAAATTATTGTATTATTATTATTATTATTATTATTATTGTTGTTATTATTATTATTATTATTATTAAGGTGACCGCCACCAAAAACAAAAAAAACTCTAGCTAGCCAGAATTGCTATCTGTGACTCGTGACATGGAACCAAACTCCGAGTAACAGCCCAGTTCACACCGGCTGCGTTACGGAAACCTTTTTTTATAACAGATACACTTCTATTGTAATCAGTGCTTCATCCCACACAGGCTGCAACAAATGAGTGTTTTTATGCACATCTGTTTTTTATTTGTCCATAGAGGTCCAGTCAAATCACACACTCCTAGTTTCTATAGCTTTCTAAGCTATATTAAAAGTGATAATTTACCAAAATGTAATCAAGATGATGTAGAAGCTGCCGAGCAGCTCCTGCGCTGTCATAACAGTGAGTGGAGGCAGCTGTTATGATGAGGGTTTTATCTGTTAAGAACAGATAAAAACTTTGATTTGTGACTTTATTGCAAAAATAAACCATCTGCTGTTTGTGCTGTCAAGTTTTAAAGTTGGTATAAAACGTAGAAAAGAAGAAAAACGGCTGATATTCCCATCTGAAGTGTTTATGTGAAGGAGAAGAGGTGGAGGCAGTGGGGATTCGACTCCCAGATGCTCGTGCTTCACAAACACTATGCTGGCGTGATGCTGACGTGTTGCATCTGGTGTGAATTCGGTGTAAAAGATAAATCAGAACTTGAAGTTTCTCCGTTGTTGCTACTGTTAAGGCTAGATTTGTGTGAGAAATCTTGCGACCACACAAGCTGAAGGTAATTCCGCCTACTTTCCTGGTTCTGTTATGCAGTGGGAACCGGACACAGGTACCTGGCCAGGGTACGGATAGTTTTGGGTTCCCGTTTGTAACCGTACTGGGCTGTTTTGGTGGAAAAACGGCGAATAAGAGACAAATAAGTCCTGCATTATCACTTCTGCCAAGACTTTCTAGCACGTCCAGTCCCTGTTTACCGCAGGATATTCAGCCTTGTTCATCCGTCCTGTGTAATTACAGCGCAGGTTTCCTCTCGGTTTTGTAACCCATAACAATGGGGGTACTTAAGGCTGACCTGCCATGGATTGTTTGGTCCTGTTGATTGTTTGGACCGTGTTCTAAGAATCAGAGATCCTCTCACATCCCTTTCATTGATCGGTCCAGACCATTTTGCCAGGGGACCTGATCCCAATTTATGTGTGAGTCATCTGTTTGTGTGTTGGGTTTATTGCTATGGGAAGACGAAGGCCAGCATGTGACTCACCTCGGGCCATGTGTCCAAGGATGGCGTCCTTAAATGCCACTTAACCTCTGACCGCCTGCAAGATGGCCTAAATCTCAAGCATTTATTGAGCTGGATAGTCACACAGCTTTTTCCAGAAGTACTAACACATGGGTTTAAATGAACATCTGGTGAACAGTCTTGTGTTAATGTTTGTTTGTTTTTTTGTGTTTTCTAATATTTTCACTGAAATAACTTTTCTCGTTACAGAGAGTGTGATCAAGGACAGTGAGTTTGAGGTGATGATGCAAATCGACTGCGAGGTCATGGACACCAGGATCCTGCACATCAGGTCCTCCAGTATCCCACCAGTCTTGCGGGTTAATGAAACCGAGACCGGCTCTTTCTACCACTCAGCACCAACCAACAACCAAGCAAAACCTCCTGTTGTCCTCATGGGTTCTGCTTAACTAAAGCAGGGTATAGGCACCAAAACTGTGATCAATGAATCCCAGCAGCCATTCCAGCCTTTTGCGAGTAAGATTGGACTCCCCCGGTGTAGACAAACTACATTCTTTTTCAGCTTATATTTTCATCAGTGGTGAAGGGAGGGAGCCCCAGCCTCTCTGTATGTGGCTGAGTACAGTGGAGAGAATCTGGGCCCCAAAACCTCCTCATCTCAATCATGGGAGTAATTGGTGAATAACCACAGGGGACCTAGGACTGAGCCTTGAGGCACCCTCTCGTAAGACACATTCTACAGCTGCACCATTAAACTCTTAATACATCCAGGTTACAAACCCATTCCAGTCTTTCAGAAGTTAATTCCCCACATAAATGATTTGCTTATTGTAGAGACTCAGCTTTTCGTCATGAATATTCTCTCAGGAAGCAACGTATAGTTGGCAATCAACCCACTCGGATTTAAAATGTCGTGTTGTTGGTTCAGTTTTGTATTGTATTTTTTTTGTTTTTGTGTGGCTTATACAGATTTATTTTTAGTTTGCTTGCACTCTATACGCTTTGTGCTGTGAATCTTTGGAAAAGGATATTATTTATGTATTTTTATTTTGAAGTTTGTGGTGAGGAACACAAACAAAGGCTTATTATTACAAGTTCTTTATTTTTCTTATTCAAAGCAATGAGAGAAAGATGCAGAAACTACCTTTCTCAGCCCTTTTCTCAGCCTTATTGCTTCTTGGAGGCATTTAAAATGATAGTTTTTTGGACTAGCATTTTTAAACATATGAGGTTCTTAATGGTTCCTCTGTCTTTTGACCTTCAGAGAACTCCATCCGTCCTGGTAAACTGCACTTTTACTGAAGTGCACTTACAGTCCTGCTCACCATTATTGGCACCCCTTCCTTTTCTGCATAACCTGTACAATATCTTCAGAAATAAATGTAAATATACCAAAGTTATATCTTCAGGATTGTTTAATTGGAGGTCCAAAGTAATACAACAAAAAAAAACATTGTTTTTCAACTTGCATGTTGCAATTTTAAAGAAGAAACAGAATAAACAGCATGTGCAGCAATAAAGGCACCCCTTGTTAATATTTGGTTGCACACCCTTTGGCTGTGATGACAGCCTCCAAACGTTTCTTGTAGCCATCTATAAGCTTCTTGCACTTCTCAGCTGGTATTTTTTCCCACTCTTCCTTTGCAGTTTGTTCAAGCTCTTGAATGTTTGCAGGTTTCTTTTTCCCAATGGCAGATTTCAACTCACCCCAAAGATTTTCAATGGGATTGAGGTCAGGACTCATTGCTGGCCATTTCAAAACAGTCAATTTTTTTCCTTTTAAACCATTCCCGTGTACTTTTGGATGTGTGCTTTGGGTCATTGTCTTGCTGGAATACCCATGATCTTTGGCTCAAACCAAGTTTTCTTACACTGGGTAGGACATTTCGCTCTAAAATCTCTTGATAATTCTCTGATTTCATGATTCCTGTGATACGGTCAAGGCCTCCAGTACCAGACGCAGCAAAGCAACCCCACAGCATTATGGATCCTCCACCATGCTTAACTGTTGGTAGGGTGTTCTTTTCCTTATAAGCTTCATTGCGCCGTCTGTAAACAAACTGTTGCTTTGCATTGCCAAAAAGCTCTATTTTTGTTTCATCTGTCCACAAAACATTGTCCCAGAATGATTGTGGTTTGTCAAGGTACTCTTGGCAAAGATCAGTCGTTCCTTTTTAGGTCTTTTCTTTAGCAATGGTTTCTTCCTTGGCCTTCGCCCATAAAGCTCTGCATGGTTTAGTGTGCGGCGTATGGTACTTGTTGAAACCATGACCCCAGACTGTTCCAGGTTGACCTTCAGTTCTTTGGATGTTTGCCTTGGTGTTTTTTCCACCATTCGCACCAACCTTCGAAGACTTCTCTTGTCAATTTTCCTCTTTTCCCTCACGTCCAGGGAGGTTCTTGACAGTTCCATGCTCGGCAAACTTCTTAATAACATGGCGCACTGTTGAAACTGGGATACCAAGGTCTTTGGAGATGGCCTTATACCCTTTGGAAGTCTTGTGTTTGCTAATAATAGCACTTCTGATGTCCTCAGACAGCTCCTTTGTCTTCACCATTGTAACAAATGAACATGGCCCAACGAATGGCTTTTTAAAACCCTGAAGTCATCATTCATTGGCTAATTCATGTCACATGGGCACTGAATTTGTCACAGGTGATTATCATTTGCGATTTACCACAGGTGAGTGAAAGTGTGTTTCCATACTAATTTAATGTAAAGGGTGCCAATACCAGTGTCACAGCAAGCTTTAGGTTTTTTCTGTTTTTCCCTCACATTGTTTTTTGTTTTAAATTGTTGTTTATAGTTTGCTCTTTTGTTTTAAATATGAGTGCTCTATACAAAAAACCTGTTTCAGTTGATTAATTTTTTCAGGGGATATTCCACAATATGTACTTAAACTTCATGGGTGCCAATAATGATGAGCAGGACTGTAAGTGAAACGTTCATAGTGATTGACATTGATTAGCAAACACAGCTGTGTGATCTTACGTTTTTTTTTGTGTGTGTTTTTTACTGTATCAGTGAGATGCTGGCTGTTGGCTCCTACATGCATCCATTTATGCATTTCCATATTAGACTAGCTGTAGTCTCATTTTAGCGTTTAGCAAATGTCATCGCCAGCTTGCTTTTTTAATGCACAATTTGATTCCCATTTAGTTCCACCTTCCTCATTAGAATACAAACACAGCAGTTAGTCATACCACTTAGAAGCATAAATCCTTGTCAGGTCTAATGGAACGAAGTAAAAAAAAACAACCCCATTTCCAAAAAAAGTTGAGATGCTGTGCAAAATTTAAATAAAAACAAAATGTAATGATGTGCAAATCATTTAAACCTTATATTTAATTGAAAATCCTACAAAGACAACATATCAAATGTTGAAACTGAGCAATTTTATTGTTTTTTGAAAAATATTTGCCCGTTTTGAATTTGATGCCAACAACATGTTCCAAAAAAGTTGGGACAGGGGCACCAAAAGACTGGTAAAGTTGTGTAATGCTAAAAAAAAAAAAACACCTGGTGGTTAATTGGCAACAGGTCAGTAACATGATTGGTAGAAGTAAAGATGGGGAGGGGTTCACCACTCTGTGAAAGACTGCACGATCAAATAAACTGCAACATAAAATAGCAAAGAACTTTTGCTTTTCATCATCTACGGTACATAATAACATTAAAAGATTCAGAGAATCTGGAGAAATCTCTGTATTCAAGAGATAAGGCCAAAAACCAGTATTTGCTGGTTGTGATCTTTGGGCCCTCAGGCAGCACTGCATTAAAAACTTTGCTTTGCTTTGAAAACAGTTCATCACTGCATCCACAAATGCAAGTTAAAACTCTTAAACGCAAAGAAGAAACCATATATATAAACAGGATCCAGAAATGCTGCCACCTTCTCTGGGCCCAAGCTCATTTAAGATGGCAAGTGGAAAAGTGTCCTGTAGATATATTAATGCTGAACGATATATACATGTTTTGGCAACATATGCTGCCATCCAGACGACGTCTTTTGCAGAGAAGGCCTCGATCATTTCAGCAAGACGATGTCAAACCACATTCTGCATGTATTACAACAGCATTGCTCTGCATTACAGAGTGTTGTTAGAAGAAGAGGTGATGAAGCACAGTGGTAAACAGGCCCCCGTCCCAACTTTTTTGGAACCTGTTGGCATTAAATTAAAAATGGACATATGTTTCAAAAAACAATAATATTTTTCAGTTTCAGCACTTGATTTGCTGTCTTTACTATTTTCAATGAAATATGTGGTTTACATGATTTGCACATCATTGAATTTTGTTTTTATTTACATTTTGCACAGCGTCCCAACTTTTTGGAAAAGGGGTTGTTGATGAAACCAGCCATTTTAAAGCCTGGCAATACAGCTGGTGTGGTACAGGCCACGTCTTGTATTAGATGGATGACCGTATGATTCACAGGTTTTAGTAAGTGATCAGTAAAAGGAGTGAATTTACATGTAAACCTATTTTAACATAGAGTTACATTATAGGACAGTAAAAGACAAAATAAAATGATAGGACTGTTATTTCATATTACATAAAACAAATACCCTGCTACTTTTTCAGTCCCTGCTTTTTGTCGAATTAAAAAAAAAATGTTTTTAAACTAATATTTGATCACTTGCAAAATCTCTGTCGGATGTCGGATGTCAGTGTCACAAGTGCAGCATTGCAAAACAGAAATAAACACTGGAGTAAGTTTGAGTGTTGTGTACTTATTGTGGTTCGTTTATTCTCTCGCCAGAGCAAAGACGAAAGATCCTCTACAATCTCCTCTGCGGTTTCCATTGTTTCTCTAAGCGCTTGCAACCTGAAATGGAGGCTGTGTGGTCAGTCCTGATTATAGCTCTTTGGGAATGATCCGCTTAAATGTTACACTCAGAAATGATACTTTATTTTTTACTACAACGCCTAACTTTGGGGTGCAGTGCAAGTTTTGGGTGTAGGAGGGGGGGGTTTTACCCAGTACCATAATTGGGGGGTCTCAATGGTTGACCTGACCCACAGCATGTGAATATAGCACTATTCTTCTTACTGTGGCATTAAAGAAAAACAAATCATTCAAACATTTTATTGCAGTCCTTTTTTTCTGTAAGTGCTTTACAAAGAAACTGCGTAACTTTTTCACTGCGTAAAAAAGTGAAACTGCCATAAGGTTTACAGAAATATAGCAGGAATGAAAACAAGTACAAGAAATAGCAAAAATATATGTTTGTAATATTTCTAGGTTTTAATTAACAGCTTCAATTTAAAAGCATTTTCTGGGATGTTTTAGTTAAAAAAAAAAAATCTACCAAGTTTACATTCATCGATCCCATATTTCAGCTTAAAGCAATATTACAGTATATACACAACGCTTTCTTAGAATCGCAGAATAAACCTCTTCCTTTTTCCCCAAAGATCTGCCAGCACCCTGGGAGGTATACTTATAATCGTTCAGAACTGTTTTCGTAGTGCAAACCCAAGAATCACGATAAACCTCAGCTAATGACGGACTAAAGGAACAGCCTGAAAAGAACCGACGTTCTCCTGCTTCCCATGTTGAAACTCTCAGGACTTTGAAAATGGATCACTACTATTCTCCCAACATCCTTTTCCGGTCATCTTTAAATACTATGACCACTGACTTTCTGAGATGCCTTTCGGATCTGAACTACAACAGCAAAACAGATCTTAACTAAAAAAAAAAAACATCTGGTTGAAATGTTCCTCCTAACACTGAACAAACTAATTTCCCATTTCCTAACAAATGTTGAGCCGAATTCTAAGCACTGAGGTGATGTTAATACCATGAAAACATCACCCACAACTTCCAATAACAGGTAAAAACATCAGTAAAGCGCATTCAGCTATATGAGTGTTAATATGTCATGAAAAATGCTAAGTAGACTGCTCTACAATCCACATTACGCTTGATGTGCTTAGTCCCCCCCCAAACACATCGGTTCTATACAGTGACCCTCTGTGACCCATGTCTAAACTGTCTAAAGAGGGTCTACATATGCAAATTGGACATTATACGTGACCTGGTGGCCGTTGTCCCAGGCGTACAGCACCCTCTCTTTGGGGTTGTAGTCAATCTGAGTGATGTAGGTGTAGTTGTTGTTGAAGGGCAGCCGAGGGATCATCTGCGTGTTGGTGTGTGTGTCAAAGGCGTAGCTCAGGTTGTTGTCCTGCTGATTGTAGTTGTCCGTAGCATACAGGACTCCACAGACGATGAAGCAGTTGCCGTATCGGTTGCGGCGGAGTCCGGTCCTCCAAGTGGTCTCGCGCTGCGTGCTCAGGTCGATCGGGTTGAGGCGACTCAGGACGATCACCTCCTGCAGGAAGCCCTCGTCGTCCAGCGCCGGGTAGATCACCCACAGCCCGCTCTCGTCGACTGCAAGGTCCATTTCAGAGTGACCCTTCCATCGCCAGGACGCCACCTCGTCGTTCTCCAGCACGGCGTCGTGCAGCATGGTCCAGGCCGCCACGTAGCGCATCCGCAGGTCATACTTGATGATGTCACGGGAGAAGGCACGGTTGTAGAAAAAAGCGCCATTGTAGACCACGTGGCCGGTGCCGATCCAGCTGTAGGGCAGCTTATAGGAGTTGGTGAAGCGTCCTGGAAATAAACGTAAGACCACATCAGCTAATAGATCTAACAGAGGACATGGCATGCCTGCAAATGCAAATGAGGCCTCGGTCTAACATGTTTCTGTACACCCTGGTGAAAGAAACCGCTTAGATCACAGCAGGCGTTCCATGTTGGTCTGAACTGATTTAGCAGGTCAAGTATACCAGCATTCGAAACACAACACATGCTGGTTTTGGTGGTGATCAGCACAACAGCATTCAAATTCTATAGAGACACTTCTATCATTATTTGTTTTTTTAGAATTATTTAATTTTAACCGATCAGGCATAACATTCTGACCACCTCCTTGTTTCTCATTGTCCATTTTATCAGCTCCACTTACTATATAGGTGCACTTTGTAGTTCTACAGTTACAGACTGTAGTCCATCTGTTTCTCTGATACTTTGTTAGCCCCCTTTTACCCTGTTCTTCAGTGCTCAGGACCCCCATGGACCCTCACAGAGCAGGTACTATTTGGGTGGTGGATCATTCTCAGCACTGCAGTAACACTGACGTGGTGGTGGTGTGTTAGTGTGTGTTGCGCTGGTCTGAGTGGATCAGACACAGCAGTGCTGCTGGAGTTTTTAAACACCTCAGTGTCACTGCTGGACTGAGAATAGTCCACCAAACAAAAATATCCAGCCAACAGCATCCTGTGGGCAGCGTCCTGTGACCACTGATGAAGGACTACAGGATGACCAACACAAACTGTGCAGCAGCAGATGAGCTCTCGTCTCTGACTTTACATCTACAAGGTGGACTGACAAGGTAGGAGTGTCTAATAGAGTGGACAGTGAGTGGACACAGTGTTTAAAAACTCCAGCAGCACTGCTGTGTCTGATCCACTTGTACCAGCACAACACACACTAACACACCACCAGCACCACGTCAGTGTTACTGTAGTGCACTGCAGTAATTCAGTTTGAGTTGGTAAACCAGGTTGCTATTGCTGGTTGTTATAACTTTTCTAATGCAAATGAATAAACGCCAAATTTATATGGGAAAGTAATAAATATATAAGATATAATTTGTACTGAAAGAGTCCTCAGACTCCTTTAGAGCACTGTACGCTGGTTTTTCTCTCAGGGTGTAATGAGTGGAAAAACACCCTTGTTGCGCTATTTGGTTAACCAACACGTTCCAAAGCCTATAGCATACATTTTCTCTAAAAATATCAGCTTCGTTTGAATTATGAGGTCATTAAATAGTTAATATTCAGATTCTGCTGCATGCAAACTAACATTACTGCACATAAAATGACCTCATAAGACTGAGCAATGTCACCAAAACACCAAAAGGTGGTAATCAAGTAGTTTTGGCAGCTGTAGGGTACAATTTGAGTTGGTGATATTGCTACATAACAGAGCTAAATTAGCATCATTACTTTCACTTAATGAGGACAAATGTACACAGAAAAGAATGCATCAGCTCTGGAACTTCCTTGGTTACCACAGGAGGCCATAGAGGGGATTTCTGAAAGCACATAACATTTCTTCCATAGACAAAAACAGCTTAGCCCTCATTATTTTGGTGCGTAATCATATGACCTCATACGTCTATGGACGTGTAAATGGATGTGCATGGCAGGACGGACTTGAGAAACAAGGATACCTTGTTTGAAGACATCCATGTTCTGGAACTCCAGCAGGTGGTTGCCATAGTAATAATTAGTGATGTAGATCTTGTTGTCGCGAGCCAGTGGGTCTTTCATCCAGGCTCCTTCATTACGGCCGTACGTGTTGTGCGTGACGGGTTCTGAGATCGTGGCCAGTGTGTCTTTGCAATCTCCTGTGAACAAAAACAGTGTACAGAACTTTCCTGTTGATCCTTATATATATAAAATTTTACATTAAAATAAATATATCTTATAAATGTCTCCACAATACCCATTTCTGACCGCTGTATTAACAGCAACAGACAGTTATTTGAGAGTGTAAAGAAACTGTTGTCAGTCCCTCTCATTGTAGTTTAACTACTGAGACTAATAAGCCCAAAATTAGTAGGACAAATATACAGTCGTATGGAAAAGTTTGGTAATCCCTATTTTTTTTTTGTTCATTTTCTATGTGAATATAAAAATAACATAAATATGTTATGTTTTAGAGCACAATTTCTATTGATTGGCTGAATTAACATGTTTGCACAAGCCATAATTTATGTTTTATTTTTCCCAATATGTTAAATTAGCAAATAAACAGTAATTGTGCATTAAAATGTGCAGAAGTGTGTCTCTGTAGAGGATGTGTAACTTATTTTCCGCATCGGCCCCTTCTTCTTATCTGGTCTGGTGTATTCATGACGTGGCCAAAAATATGTGGACACATTCACACATAAAATTAAGCATATCCCTGTTGTCGGATGAAAACCTTGTATCCCCAAAATGTTAACTTTGCAGGAGAAAGAAAAACACTTCACTTTTAATGTAAGTCAATGGAACCAGACTCTTTTTCCAGGTAATTTTAGGTCATTTCTTTTAGTCCATTCATCACGGAATTACATACAATGTAAAGGGTAACAGGTATTTTCAAATTATGTCAAAAACTGATATGCAATCTCCAATCTTTAAATCTAAGACTTTAATCCAGTTTCTGGTCCTGGATTTTTTTTATTTCTGTAGGAATGACACTGAGTGGCCAATCAGTTAGCTCAACAGTTCAGTTAATGACCTTAGGTTTGAATTTGAAGCCCATAGACAAACACTGGCTGTAGAATGGCTTGTTCTGAAGAGCTCGTGGACTTTTAAAGTGGCACCGTCATAGGACGGCACCTCTCCACCTCAGTCAGAGCTGCCCTGGTCCACTGTAAGTGCTGTTACTGTGAGGTGGACACCATCCAATATTCCCAGACCTATAAAACACACTCGGAGCGTGACGATAAATGGTACTGTCACACATCGGTCAGTGTATCCTTCGGTCATTCGATTTTCATTTCAAAACCAGCATTGAAATACGGGAAAATGGGTCAGTTCTCTTCGGTTTGGTTATTGTTGGTGGAAAAATCAAGAAATAGCTTCGCTTTACAGTTTCACAAACTAATCATAACATTAAATAACATATAAACAACAATGGAATAAAGGGTCATATTTTATTTATCCATATTTTATTTTAAAAATCTGTCACCCTAACCATAACTAGACGTGCAGAAACAGACATGCAGAGGGCACGAACAGTCTCAGACTCTCAGAAATCAGGCCTGTTTGTCAGGGTTTTGCAGAATCCTGACTCCAGTGGCAGCTGCCACAGTGTTATAAGAACAATATGAACACAGGACAGAGCTCAGCTCACAGCTTGAATTGTTGAGTTGGTGTAAGTTTACATCTGACAACGTGACTTTACAGTATTCATTTTTCTCATTATCATTCTCTTTGATTCGGCTGTTAAATGGCGGGAGTCCTGTAGAGCCTCTTCCTCATATCGCTTCATATTCAAACACCTCTAAAAAAACGTCATATAGTCTCCCAAAATGCCAGGACTGGGCCTTTCTTGACAACATTCATCCCCGATCTTCCTGTCTTTATCATTTTTTCACTGCCTGATTTCTGAACCATACGTTCAGACAATCCATCCATCAACAACAATCGACTGTTTGTTTGTTATTTGATTTTATGATTAGTTTATGAAACTAAAACGAAGCTGTTTCTTGATTTTTTTCCACAGAACCAAAAACGAGAACTGACTTTCCCTTTTTCAATACTGGATTTGAAATGAAGATCGAATGACAAAAAGATACATGAACCCACATTTGACCCACGTGGAGGAAGGGTCAAACATTACCTGGCCGCCTTTTTGGTTTCTCCTTTAAGATCTCCTTCACCGCAGTTTTAACGATCTTTGGCTCCACTTCGGTCACTTCCTCCACTTCCTCTTCTTCATCCCAGCTGATGCTGTACTTGCGTTTGGCAGGTGTGCTGGTGGTAGCAGTCATAGTGGTGGTAGTGGTCATCAAGGGTGCTGCTGAAGTAGTGGTTGGCCTGCGAGTTGCTATGGGTGCTGCTGAAGTAGTGATTGGCCTGCGAGTTGCTATGGGTGCTGCTGTGGTGGAATAAGGTTTACTCCCAGTTACACGTGGTGTAGTCATAACAGTAGCTGTTAAAGTCTGAAGATTTGAGGTACTAGCTGTTGTGCCAGCAGTGACCAACTCAGAGTTTGTGGTCGTAGCTGTTGAGCCAGCAGCGGCATCTGTGATTGTGGTGGGAGACGTTGCTGGCGGGGTAATAGCTTGTGTCTGAGTGGTTGGTGACCGTGTTGTCCTTGTTAGTATGATTTCTGGTTCTCTGGCGAGGTCCTGGATGAAGTTCTCTCCGGAGGTGGGTGTACTCGTCTTGTGGTTTCGCTGACTGACGACAGTGGCTGCAGTCTGTCCCGTATTTGTGGTCATTTCAGGGACAATTGAAGTTGACTCCTTCGTCTTTACATGACTCAAAGTGGATGGCTTGGCCAGGATGTTCCGAGCTTGTGGGACAACATGCTTCTGCTCTCTTCCTTCCTCGGTTCCGGAGAGGTTCTGAGGTGTGGTCAGTGCCGTGGGCCTGACATCTTTGAATTTCTCTGTAGTAGTTGGGGTTCTTAAGGCTCTCAGCTCAGTAGAATTCCCCATGGTAGACTGGGAGGTTTTTGCCATTCCAGGCTCTGGATCATCCAGTGTTTTCATCTTCACAGGCAGAGAAGAGTCAGATTCTACCACTTGAGACTCTGGCTTGCTGTGTGCGACTTCTTCGTCTTTGGTTTTGGGTTTAGCTGGAACTGACCATGCTCGTATTACAGGCCTGAAGGCAGGGGCAACGGGTTGAAGAAGCTGCTCCTCTGCAAAGAGATCTACAGGACTGTCACCACTGTGGCTTTCATCTTCCGGCACTGCAGGAAGGAACCAAACATGAGTTCACAATTAACAGATGCTATTCCTAAAAATGTACGGCACTGTCCTGCCTTTACCTTTCCCCACGCATGTTATAAAACATGATGAAACATACAATAAAATGTTGATCACAAAAAAAAGCAATTAACAGATTTGTTAGAAAAGTCCTGCCCATTTTTAGCTATTATGTTGTGTATGTTATGGAGTACATGTACACTACTGTACACTGATCAGGTATATCATTATGACCACCTCCCTGTTTCTAAGCCATTTTATCAGCTCCACTTACTATATAGGTGCACTTTGTAGTTCTACAGTTACAGACTGTAGTCCAGTGGAGCAGTGCTGCTGGAGTTTTTAAACACTGTGTCCACTCAGATACCTGTGCTGTGAGGGTCTATGGGGGTCCTGACCACTGAAGAACAGGGTAAAAGGGGGCTAACAAGGTATGCAGAGAAACAGATGGACTACAGTCTGTAACTGTAGAACTACAAAGTGCACCTATATAGTAAGTGGAGCTGATAAAATGGACAATGAGCGTAGAAACATGTTATGCCTGATCGGTGTATTTATTGTTTTATTAGTCAAAGTGGCCATGAAGTACAAGTTGTTTTTCAGCATCAGAAAACATTATTTAACAGAAAATTACACAGAAGCCTCAACAACTAAATAAAGGGTGATTCGAAAAGATTCATCCGATTTCAAAATGATTTATTTCACTTGTAAATCATTACACCGTCGCTTATTAAAGAAATAAAAGCTACCGATAGCAGTCTGTGCAGCCTAGATTAATCACTGTCTGAGGATTATAACAAAACAAATTTGGTGAAAATCGGTTGAGTAATAAGGAAGTTGTGGCTGATTTAATCCTGAGACTCTTCGTCTCTCAATACAAGTGAACTTGTTCAAAAGCGGATCTTGACCTCTTCAACATGGCGGACGCTCAGACATATCGCCTCAGATAGAGGACAACAGACAACGCGACATCCAGGTATGCATATCTATGGACTGGAGGGGCATCTTCCCTATTCATCTTTAGTTTTAGGAGGGCGTATGACCCAATAGCCCCCTGTAGTTGGCCCGTATGTTAGTGACCCTTTTGGAAACTGAATAAACTCATGGAAATGCTACAGCTTTGCCAAAGTTCTGAAAACGAAATGCCATTTTTCCCTGGATGGATGTATTTAATTGTCAACGTAATCACTGTGCTGTTGACCACAGATCGTTTAGGGTTTGTTCTTTTAACTTACTGTCTGTTTCCGCCTCGTCCACTGGGTCAGCTTTATAGTATGTGATCCCCCTGACAATCATCTTTGGGTTCTGCTCCCTCCCATGACGCTCTTGTTCTCGTAAGACCTTAACAGCATCTTCTGGTTCTGGTAGCCTCTTCTTCAGCAGGCTTCCAACAAACCTCTCCTCATATTTATTCTGTCAAAATCACAAGTCATGTCTCATGTAGAGTAAGGAAGAACAGCAAAGGCACTGACCATTCCCTTTTTTAGGTACCATTTAAATAATATAGCTCTAGCCAAGTTCAGTCCATGGCTTGCTTTCAACAAAAGCCCAAATTTGTTATATAAACTGAATGACTCATTAAATTAGTAAAGTATTTAAATATAAGCCTGTGGAGCAGACAGTATACATCATGCTACATGAGGTAACTTATTTCATTCCGAGACTTTCCCACTCCTAAGCCTAAACAAACAATAGCAACCCAAGGGCCATTTTGGTTTATTGTTCACAATAACGCTGAGGTATTTTCTCATTACATCATTCAACTGGCCGCTGTATAAGAATCCACCCACCTCTGTGTGCTGATAAACTGCAGCCTCGCCGCTCATTTCACTCAGTCGCTTCCTCTTCTCCTGTCGTGGTGGAGATGCAGTAGAAGACAGGGCTCCTCCTGTTGTTTCTGGTTTTGGTGACACACTTCCTACCTCTGCCTTTGAATCAGTGTGATTCTGAGACACTATCTAAAGAGCAGCACAAAGAAGAAGATAAAACCCCCGCATTTGTGGAACTGTGATAAGCAGCTGTCCTTTCCACATCTACAGTAACACTCCAGCTGCTTTTACGCTTCAAACGAAGTACAAAGCTTCCCACACACCTGAAAATTAAGGGGATCAGTGATTTTCCCGACTACCATTAGACTCCTTAATCACCAGATGTGCCAGGTGTGCATCATCGTGTCTTAGAATGTCCTCCATAAAATATGGGCTTCGGTTACCAGAGGTAAACAGTAAATAGTTAAGAATCTAAACAGTAAATAGTTGGGTTCCTATAAAGTTCCACATGTTTAAATAACATCTTTATGGATTTTTATGTTTATTATCAAATGGCACTTTTATATTTGTAGGAAAACAAAACAGGGATGCAGCGATATGGGAACTGTGGGTCGATGCCGATATCCAGTGTTTTTCACGTACATATCTGCTGAGATGACAATGTTGATGCCAAAACATAAACATTTGGAAAATGTAGAAATCAGGACCTGAATTTGCATTATAAGGAAATTTAATACTTACTTATACGCTTATAAAAATGCATAAAATACAGACATTTTAGCAAAGTAGCGCTGCCTGAACGCTCTGCTCTTCCAGAATATAAGTAATACATCTAATACGGCAAGCACTGGTTTGAAATATCTGTCCAATCTAAACATCTGGTCATACAGATATGATTCCACTATTATTGGGCATCATTAGAAACACATCTACTTCTTAATCAGTTCTATTTTAATCTTTCAAATTCCATTTGCAATTAATTGACTGTATTTAATATCATTCTGCTTGTTTAGGACTCAGGTTTCTAACCCTGGTCCTGGAGTAGCTCCTGCCCTGCACCTTTTAGGGTTTGTCCTGCTCCTCCTCAAGTCATGAAGGACCTGCTAAAATGGCCTGACTAGTTAGATCAGGTGTGTTGGGAGCAGGGAAACACTCAAACATGCAGGACAGGAGGCAATCCAGGACCAGGGCTGGTTGCATGTATCACTTTTGAACAGTTGAAGCTTCTCTGAGGATGTTTATAATCAACAAAATCAAAATGTAAATTATTTCTTGTATTTATAATTGCTTTACTATTGCTCCCATCAGAAATTCATTCAAATGATTCCGTTATTTTTGGGCAAAATGCACTGAAGAATTAGTATCTATTATATTATTCTTCTTTCTTATCTTTTAGCCTGTTTCTCACGATACTGGCAAACAATCAAATATATATAGAAATAAATAAGGAGCCAAGCATCAGGTGATGTTTAACCTATACTGTCATATCATATAAGATTACCATAAAGTTTATCATACTTGCTCTTTAACAAAACCAATCTTAAAAGGGGATTGCCACTTTGTTTTCATAAACAAAGTCAGTCTGAGTGGTTTGGTGTGAAATGCTCCAGAAAACTTACCAAGTCAGAATAGTCTACAGTGGTAGTGACAGGAACCAGACATCTGAAGAGTTTAAAGCAGGAGTGTCCAGTCTTTTCCGCAGAGGGCCGGTGTGGCTGCAGGTTTTCACTCAAACAAAGCAGGAGGTCACCTGATGAAATGTTTGAAGACTAAGACCAGCTGATGAAACAAGTAAAATCAGGTGAGCTTCAGCTTGTTTGGAGTGAAAACCTGCAGCCACACCGGCCCTTTGCGGAGAGGACTGGACACCGCTGGTTTAAAGCCTCTAAAAGCTCACAGAAAGTTACTACATGAAGTAGCTACAAATACGCTGGCCGATGTCTGAGACACTGTTTTACAGTATGTTTGAAAAAAGAAAACAATTTTCTAATTTTTGACACAATTTTAACATCGGCATCATTATATGTAAAAACTCAAAGGACATGTGTAAGTTCACAGGCCACTTTGAATAGTAAATAAAATAAAAAACTGCATTATAGCCAGCTTGACCACTGGTAAAGAAATTTGAGTTTCTCTGCAATGAACCATTTCACATCAAACCACTCAGAATTACAGTTTACAGCAACTGAATAATAAAGAAAGCTTTAAAAATGGGTGGAATTCCCCTTTCAGCTCCGCTCTGACTTGGGGTTGGTTCTCTACACCTTGCTGTTGCTAAGTTAAATCACCACGCCCCCTTTCTTCTCGTTCTGATTGGCTGACTCATTAGAACGTGTGTGACGTCATTCGGCCTTTCTTTAAAGCTGGGCAGCCTCTCTGTCGTTTCTCAGAGCTTCACATCACTCACCCTCTCGATGTTCTCCACCCGCTCCAGGAGCTTAGTGGTGACCGAGTGTAGCTTCAGCAGGTCCATGCCGTAAAAGGACCCCTCCAGCAGCTCGATGATGGTGGAGAGCTGAAAGGAACCAAGCAAAATCCGTCACAGCGAGCTTCGACATCCAGCTCCTCTCACACTTCTGAACGTAATGCTTGCTGCTCGTCCTAGTAGCCATTTGCATGATGAGCAGTGTAAAAGTGATCCATCTAGGCTAATTTTTGTTTGTGTTTTTGTTTGTCTGATGTCGGCCCCTCCTGCCTGCTGGTCACCTTGATGTTTTCCTTGCCGGCTTCCCGAAGCTTCTTCAGCCTGAAGTCGCCCTCACAAGGGTTGAGCGCGGACGGCGGCGCCACGCAGGTGCACTTGCAGTGTGGGCCCGAGCTGAGGGTCTCCACGCTGTAGGAGTGGCCGAGCTCCCCCGTCTCGCCGCAGGCGCTCCTGCTCACGGCTCTGACAACACATTTACAGCCACAGTCAGCGCCTTCCGAAAGCGCTTTCACTTTGTCATAATCACCCAGCAGCTACAAAGAGAAGAGGACCGGATGCGTTTTCCACCAAGCCAAATCAGAATTGCAAAAAAGAAAACAGCATGCAATCTTAAAAGTTAAAAAAGAAGGAAAACTACACGCTGCTCGTGCCATATGCTCGCTTGTCACGGGAAAGTCGAGTGGTGCGTCTCAATTCGGGCCCTATATTCTCAAAGTTCGCTAGTGCTCATGTATCAAACAGAAGGCCCAAGTCAGGCCCGTGGCACAAACCTATTCGGCCCGCAAAATTATTTTAATTTTCTGTTAATATTGGCCATGAGCTGCACTACAGTTCCCAGCATGCACTGCAACGTAATGTGTGCTCCCACTCCCTCCTCAACTACGATCTATGGGACAGCGCCACATTTGTTCAAGCGAATGGGCAGCTTTGAAAAACCAACTGTACACTGGAGACATTTAAAGAGGTTTAACAGTTACCTGCAGTTAAAGTAGTCTACAACCCTATTTCCAAAAAAGTTGGGATGCTGTGCAAAATTTAAATAAAAACAAAATGCAAATCTGCAAATTATTTAAACCCTATATTTAATTGAAAATAGTACAAAGACAACATATCAGATGTTGAAATTGAGAACTTTATTGTTTTTTGAAAAATATAAGCCCATTTTGAATTTGATGCCAACAACATGTTCCAAAAAAGTTGGGACGGGGGCCTGTTTACCACTGTGTTTCATCACCTCTTCTACCTCAAGAATAATGTTTCTCAACATAAAATAGCAAAGAACATTTGCTTTTCATCATCTACAGTAGATAATATCATTAAAATATTCAGAGAATCTGGAGAAATCTCTGTATGCAAGGGACAAGGCCAAAAACCAGTATCTGCTGGTTGTGATCTTTGGGCCCTCAGACAGCACTGAATTAAAAACAGACATGATTCTGTAGTGGAAATCACTGCAGGGGCTCAGAAACACTTCTGAAAAACACTGTCTGTGAACACAGTTCATCACTGCATCCACAAATGCAAGTTTAAACTCTACAATGCAAAAAAGAAACTGTACATAAATAGTACCCAGAAACGCTGCCACCTTCTCTGGGCCTGAGTGCATTTAAAATAGACTGAGGGTAAGTGGAAAAGTGTCCTGTGATCCAACAACATTTGAAATTCTTTTTGGAAATCATGGACACTGTGTCCTCCAGGCTAAAGACCACTCAGGTTGTTATCAGTGCACAGTTCAAAAGCCAGTATTCATGATGGTATAGGGGGGCATTAGTGCACATGGCATGGGTGACGTGCACATCTGAGAAGGCACCATTAATGCTGAACGATATATACATGTTTTGGTAACATATGCTGCCATCCAGACGACGTCTTTTTCAGGCAAGGCCTTGATTATTTCAGCAAGACAATGTAAAACCACATTCTGCACGTATTACAGCAGCATTGCTCCGTATTAACAGAGTCCGGGTGCTAAACTGACCTGCCTGCAGTCCAGACCTGTCACCACTGATAACATTTGGCACATTATGAAATGAAAAATACGACAAAGGAGACCCCGAACTGCTGAGCAGTTGAAATCCTATATCAAACAAGAACAGGAAAACATTTCACTTTCTAACTACAGCAGTGTCTCCTCAGTTCCCAAACACTTACAGAGTGTTGTTAAAAGAAGAGGTGATGAAACACAGTGGTAAACAGGCCCCCGTCCCAACTTTTTTGGAGTGTGTTGTTGGCATCAAATTCAAAATGGGCATATATTTTTCAAAAAACAATAAAATTTCTAAGTTTCAACATTTGATATGTTGTCTTTGTACTATTTTCCTTTAAAAACATGGCTTACATGATTTGCACATCATTGCATCCTATTTTTATTTACATTTTGCACAGCGTCCCAACATTTTTGGAAATGGGGTTGTATTATTATATATATTATTAAAGTTATTTTTGAAATGTTTATAAAAGGATTCAGTGCCTATTTTCTGCCGTTGTGGTTTTGGCATATTTTGAATAAACAATGTCAAGTTCGGGTCGTGGCAAAATGTTACGTAAAAATGAAATAAAAACACAGCTGGCCCACAGATGTGCTGAGATTTTTTAATATAGCCCTTTAGTGGTTGAGTTTGACACCCCTGGTCCAGTGCCTGGGTTTTGTTTTGAAAATCACAAATAACTGCACTGTACCTCAGGCCTGTGTTTACATTAGCAGTAAGCTAATAATGTCCCAGTTACTGTGATAACATTTTGAAGCTCCTTAGCTGCATATCATCGCTGTCCAAGAAAAAAAGTTGCTCCATTTTTATTAATTTTTATTTTTCTTTTGAACACTGCAGACGTCCTTTACATTGTGTGAAAATTTCATGATGAATGGACCAATAGAAACGCTTCAAAATCACTTCAATCTTCAATCACATCATCCTCTTTATATTAACTTACATTGAAAGTTATGAATGTTTTTGCAAGTTTTTCGTTGGCCAGCGATGTTATCACAAATCGACCAACACAACATCAATTACTGAAGGACAAATTTTGAAATTTTCCAAATTTCAAACTAAGGCGGCCTCTGAGGGCTCCTCCTCTTCTGCTGAGTATGGCAGCCTGAGTTTAATCAGTGCCACCTTCCAGACTGAGTACACCAACTGGACAAACATGTTTGGTCAGTGTGCCATACCTGTGTTTCATTGTTAGACGCATCATTCAATCGACTCATTTTGACTGTCAGTTCTTAGTCGGAACAAACAGACCAACAGAATGTTCATGTTAGTGTGGTCAGAGAACGACTCTTATTGGGCTCTGAAGTAGCACAACTGTCTACTGTTACAGATACAGATAAATCCGCAGGTTGTCAATGTCGGCCAGTAAGATCAACCAATTGATATTGATCTATTTCTACAACATTTGCATGTTAACACTATGCTACATCCATCCACACTTCATTTCCTAGTGTAAATGCACTACAGGGTGATTCAAGAAGATTTGTCTGATTTCAAAGTACTTTATTTTTACAGCTGTGAGGCGTCTAGGAACCAATCACATACCAATTGAAAGAGGGGGTCACAGAGTTTCTGACTGTCAGTGGAAGATGGCTCCCCTCAGTCTGAGAGGAGATGAGACCCCTGAGCAGAAAGCGTTCTGCGTTCTCCACTTCAATAAGAGTGAATCCGTCATAACTGTGCAGTGTGATTTTCACGGGCAGTGAAGCTCCAACAGCTCAGAGCGTTCGTCGTTGGTTCCACAACACTGGATGATCTCCGAAATCGCACTGAAAGAGCCGTGAGTGCAGCGACACCCGACATGCTCAATCCAGTATGGGATGAATTTGACTATGGTGTTGATGTTGTCTGTACAGCTGGAGGAGGTTCATACTGAGACCTTGTACAATTACATAATAAACTTTATGCTCATTTAAACTATTTACAGTTCACTGCATTGATCTGTAATGATTTACAAGTGAAATAAATCATTTTGAAATCGGACAAATCTTTTTGAATCACCCTGTAGTTGCACTAAAAGTTGCTACCAATATACTCAAATTGAGACACAGTGGACTACAGGCCTCCTGGCAGTGGAGCGGATGCAGAAAGACAGCATGGACGTTTCTCAAAACAACTTTTTATAAGCGGATAATTACTTTTTTAAATGAGACGAGCAGAGAAGAGGCCCGTGAGAAGGGCTTTAAAAAGCAATGTGATAATATTAGTTAACGAATGGTATCTATAATCTCTGGCATGTTCCAGGGCCCCTGTGGCTCTAGACCCCCTCAGTCATTTATGGCTCCTCCCTCCTTCCTTTCACTGCTAACAAGAAACACTGTGTGAATGGACTGAAGTGTACAAATGAGGGATGGTTTTGAGAAGGCAATTCATTTTAAATACAATTGATTCTAAACCTGGTGTTGCTTTTGAAAAAGTTGTTCCGTTCTCTCCAGAAGTACCTCAGTTTGCCTAGGCTGACCCTTTTAGACCGTTAAGGAATGATAAGACCAGAGCACCCCATGCTTTTTTCTTTACTTACACTTTCCTTAGAGACATTTGGTCTGTATTCAGAAAATTCAGATTTGTTTTCCAAATCCAGTCTTTAGCACTGTTTGTCCACACTGGTGTTTAAGTAATCAGATCTCTGTTTTAGGCAGTGTGTTTATTTGTTGCAAGATTGGTACAGGTTATAGTATAGACCAGGGGTCGGCAACACACGGCTCCAGAGCTGCATGCGGCTCTTTTCCTGCCCTGTTGTGGCTCCACAGCAGAATCAGATTTGTAGGTAAAAATAAAATAATCCTCCTTTACAGTAAAATAAAGCTCTGCTGATCGTTGAACACAGTTTAACAATAAATGGTCTTAAACGATGGAGTTAATGTAGAACTGCTAATTCACCCTTTAACCCTGAAGATCAGCGCAGACTGCTGGTCACCATAGCAACGCAGACAAGACTCTCGCCTAGCTAGTAGCTAACGAAACGGCAAAGAGAGAGATTTAAGACGAACATCGATAATTTGGAGACGAATGGACTCGCATTTATAATCACTCCAGCTGGTTTCCTGATACGTTTTAACTTCAACGAGAAACTGTCAAACACTAAAAAGTCACAAAGCTGTAGTCAGTTTCTCATTCAAGTTTTCCCGTTCCACCTTAAATGGTGCCTGCTGCACAATTTAAGGTGGAACGGGAAGCTTCCAACAAGGAGCTGTGCGAATGAGAAGCGACTCCAGCCTCGTAAAAAAATTAACGCTGAGAGACATTTTACAAGAAACTGTTACGCTTTTGAAAAAGTTTCCTGCTGGAGATGCGAGAAAAGCAGCTATAGCTGAGCTAAAGCTTAAAGCAGAGCAAAGTAAGTCTGAGTTTTCGTTTATAATAAATTTATTAGCCGATACTAGCACCTTAGCACAAACTGAGGCATATTTACAGCCAAGATGGTAAAATGGACATAAAAAACAGCATCAACTGTACAGCTGCCATGAAATATAGATTTTTCACAGGTGTGAATTCAAATTTTAAAGATTCACAAAAATACGGACTATAATTTTATCCACTGATGTAGCTCAAGTAGGAAAAGGCTGCATGCTCCACTGAACTGTCAGCAGAAGTGGGCGTTAACAAGTTAGATTTAGGCCTGCTCAGTTACATGTACTCAAGTTAAAACATGATGAATTTGTATTCTTGAGTGTTTTTGAATGTGTTCTTCTACTGTGGGGAATCTATTCTACTCAGTTACGTTTTAGGCATAAATATTTAGTTCCTAATTTCTGGCTATTTTTTTGTGTATTTAATTTCATTATATTGTTGACCACTGTGGTTTGCGACTGATCTCTCACTTTTGAGGTTTTCACTGATTTTGTTACTTTATTTTAGAGCACTTAAAAAAGAGAAGAATATGGAGCCGAACACACTCCAGTTTCTGTGCTGCGAGATGCTGGATGAACTACACTCTTTAAAAAAGATGGTTCTACTAGGGTCCTTAGTAAAGGGAATTTTTAGAACCATGAGTTCTGTACAGGACCATTTCATGCCATTAAATGGTTCTTTTCATGGTGAAAATGTTCTTCAGATTGATGGAGAATGTTTTGTATATGGTTCTATATAACATATTTTGGAAAATAGTTCTATACAGCACCAAACAGGGCTGGGCTGTTGTTATGATGTCAAGCTTGTAAACAGAACCATTCCTTTACTAAAGAACCCTTGAAGAACCATCTTTTTTTTAAGTGTGCCGGTTCCACTGCAGTCAGTACTTAAGTAGTTTTTTTACTGGACACCTTTGTGCTTATACTCAAGCACTTTGTTTTTTGGAAAGGCACTTTTACTTTTAGTGCAGTCATTATTTCACTTTAGTGAACACCCCAAACTTTGTGTGGCAAAAGAGAATATGGCACGAGAACAACACCTCAGAACTTCAGCACTAGCCTAACATAACCAGAGGTCTTTGAATCTGGATCTTGAATCCAGTTTCTGGTCCTGGATTTTGTAATCACTGGTAGTTAAAGGGGAACTCCACCGATTTTTCAAAAATTCTAAATAATTCAGAAGAGATATAAGCAAAGTCATTCAGAGTGGTTTGTGTAGAGAAACCTACAGGCTCAGATTCCTTTACAATGGTGGTGATAGGAACCAGGGGTCTAAAACACAAATATAGACATTTTATTTACTACCCAAAACCACCAGTGAACCTACAAGTGTCTTCTGTGTTTTTATATGTAAAATAGTGGAAAGTCTGAAAAAAAATGGGACTATTTTGCCTCACAACACCCTGCATGTACCCCTCCGCCAAGGATTCAAATAAATTGATTACCAAGACATTTCAGGCCAAAACTTTATCACTAAACTGTCGTAAAACAGTGTCTCAGGCATCAGAAAGTGTATTCATAACCACTTCATGTAATAACTGTATGTGAGGGAGCTTTTAGAGGTGGACGTCTGGTTCCTATCACCACCACTGTGAACAATCCTGACTCCTCTAGTTTCTCTAGAACTGAGCATTTCACACCAAACCACTCTCAACCACTCTGTCTACATTTTAACCACTGGATTATGTGGAACTTTTGAAAAATTGGTGGAGTTCCCCTTTAACTGAACAGCTGAAGTAACTAACTGGCCACCTAGTACCAAAAACCAGGACCAAAAACTGGACTTGATGGATCCTGGCCTAAACTAAAGCAAATCTACAGGGGTCTTAGCTGTTGCTGTTATCTGACCACATGCACAGGAAGCACTTTAACTAGTCTACATGGCCATTCACTGGCCAAATAACTTCAGTGGACTTTAGTGGGCTATAATGTGAGACTGGAGACTCCTACCTGGGATAATATGCTCTCCTGGTTGTCCTCCTCTGAAGGGCTTAGTTCCTCCGCAGCTCGCCGTTGTTCCGGCGCGGCTGCACTTGAATAGAGAGCCGAGAAGAAAAGGATGCACCAAACTCCCACTTTCGCCATTACTCTAGAATAAATGTCCTCAAACCATAAGACACAGCAGCACAGAGTCCCTCAGACCGTTCAGATCCAGAGTGGAGACGCAGTTAAACGGGTCTGGAGGCTGTTTTGGTCTCGGGCTCCAGTCATTGAAACTGCTGGTGGGAGTGAAGCTGAGAGATGAAGTGGAGAAGAAGCAGGTGGACGCAGAGAGGAGGAAAACAGGCTGAGTGAAGGAGAGAGAGGAAGGCAGGATGGAGGGATTGGTGGGGACAAATGGTGGGAGGCAACGGGGGATCTCACACACACACACACACACACACACACACTACAATTTTGCTTATTCGTGTGTTTTGTTTGTCTTTAAATAAGAGTTACAGGGCAATATATTAACCTTAGAACAGGTGAAATTACAGAAACAATTACAGAAAGTACTATAAACGTTTGAAAATGTTCTGTTGTCGTTTTATGCTTGTTAATAGCGTTTTTAGTGAGGCTGCGTCTCAGACTGTTGTTTACTGCCGTTGTAATTTAAATGGGACACTTATCTACTTTCTTTCCAGACCAGAGAACTTGTAGAGAGCAGAATTACCGCTCAAACGCTAGAGGGCGCTCCCGAGCGAGTCCAAAATGAACGGATTACTATGGAGCATTTGATCAAAATCAGTTTATAAATGCTTCAACATTTTAATATAAAAGAAAACGTTCATTCCCTGAACACAGAGCAGCATAAAAACATTTTAACACCGCTGTTATATTTTTAAGAGCTTTTAAACTCGAGTTCATGACGTCAGTGAGCGCGAGCAGCCAATGAGCTGCTCCGCTCGCCAATCAATCAGCACTCAGTAGCAGTAAAGCCCGCCTCCTGCTGCCCAAAACCCGTTTGGTGTAGAAAAAAGGAAACATACAGGTGAGTTTTCTTTGGTTTTTTTAATGAAATACATCCTTCTACTTTCTAATTAATTAATAATTAATTAAAGGAAAGTTCTAGAAACTATTTAACTTCTCGTTTTCAGCCGTTGAGCTCCATTCACTCCCATTCATTGAGGACTCGCTCGCGGGCGCCCTCTGGCGTTGTGCAGTCCCTTGTTTGGCCAGACCGTCTTTCATCGAGTTTGCAGCGTTTTTATTTTGTCAGACATTGGAAATACTACAGCGCCATCTGCTGCTGCCTTTTTACACTCACTGGCAAAGAGGCATGGACCAACCGACTTTTCTTTTATTTTATTTATTTATTTTTTAAGTTAAAAAAATCACTTTTAAAGTAAACCCGAAACTGCCTTTTTTTCCTCCATGTCTCTGCTCATATTAAGCGCAATCCCTGCTGCCATGCTGCATTTTCCCCGCCTTTAAAACGCCCTCTGCGATCTTATGACGTCACCGCGCACCAGCGGGCGGTGAAAAGTAATATTAACCAATGATATCATGTATTCCCTCCCCTTCTGCCCTCCACTACCTCACCCATCACTGAGTTTAAATGCTGGGCTTGCTCAGAGACCCTCCCTGATCCTGTTTCACTTGGAGATATGTTACTATATATTTAATTATTTGGGGAAAAAAAGCTCAAAGAATCAGAAACACTTTTTTTCTGATCAGTTAAACACATCACCCTATCTGACCTGGCTGATAATTTAGATATTTATGCACTAAAGATGCAAAGAAACAAATAATTAAACCGTACGTTGTGTAAAAAACACTATAAATAAAGTCAAAAAAAAATGTAAGTTTAAGTTAAATAGTTAAATTTACTACACGATGTTTGATTTTGAGATTAGAAGTGACAAAATGAGCAGAGCAGCTCTGCTAAACGACTATACAGTTTTAAAGCCCGTGTAATATGATCAGTTATCCAGCAGGGGTCGCTGTACGCTTTCTAATGTGTACAGAGGTTCAAATACCTACAAAAACGCTGGCAAAAGTATTTAAAACTGAAAGACAATAATGATGTTGATATCATATACTTGCTCATTTGGAAATGACGTACACATTAAAATCAAAGTAAATTAAATTAAATTAAATGTTCAGTCTACTCTACCGTAGGTTTATTGTCAAGAATCTATCAAATAAAATGTGTTACTTTGATTAGAAAATACCACGACCGGGGTCTGAGCAACACAGAGACACAGTTCCAGTCTCTCTGTTTTGGTTCTCAGTGCCCTTATTTCTTCACACATGATGGCCACATAGAACACACTCATAAAATTAACCACTGGAGTTTGTTTGACTTTTAAACGGAGAATATTTCTACGCCAAACGAATGAATTGTGTTTTCTTCAGGTGGCTTGTTTACGTAAAATGGACAAAAACGTAATTAAAGTACATTTCAGTGAATGAAACTGTTCGTTTTCGAAAGCAACCCAAATAAACCGAATGGAAATGAGCGGCACGAACGAATTAAAATTATATTTATTATATTTATTTGCTTATTTCCCTCCTGACAGTAGGGTCTGTTATTTTGGAGTTTGGTCTATCCTAAGAGTGGGAGTACATATATTTGTGTGTGTGTGTGCGAGTATGAACGTATGTATAGCAATGTGGCGCATGCGCACTGGCTCCTTCTAGCCTCCCTGGTGTTTCCCTCTCAACGTCCACTTGTTATGACATGGTTATAAAGCACACACAAGCTTGTTTATGCACAAAGCGCGGTGAGAAAGAGCCCTCCTCCTTCCGTGGCCACATAAGAAGGAGCGCAGGCGACGGTCGGTCAGTACTGTGGGTGGGAGGAGGGCGGAATAGCTGGCAGATTGGACCCCTGAGAGCGTTTAAACGCGTCTAATCCAGCGAACCGCCGTTCACGTCAGTAGCGGAGAAGCTAACCGGCTAACGCCTCGTCACGGTCTTCCCCCGCTTTCCGTCTGACACGATGCTGAAGACGACAGTGTTGGGCTGCGATTACACGTGAAGAGGGCTCCGAGACCACTTTAACCATGATGAAGAAAAAGAAATTCAAGTTTAAGGTGGACTTCGAGCTGGACGAACTCTCCTCGGTCCCCTTTGTCAACGGCGTGCTGTTCTGCAAAGTCCGGCTGCTGGACGGCGGCTTCTCTGAGGAGTCTTCCCGGTGAGGATGCGCTGTTTACGCTCACATAGGTTACTGGTACTAATGGCTGAGGTAAAAACAGATTCCCTCGGTTTCTCAGCCCCAAACTGGCTCGTACACGGTTAACTAGACTGTCTTGACAATTTAGCTAAACCCCGCTACCTCGTTATTAAGCGTTAGGGTCAGTAGTAACGGCGTTTATAGCGAAGGGTCAGCTACAGTTCGGTCTGTTCACTAGCATAGTTTGGGTTCTTCCCACTCGTTTAAAGTTAATTCGCCTGGCATTTCAACGAAATGTGGAAAATTCACGCTTTTCTTGGAGGGTCGTCTCAGTCTGAACCATAATGTGCTGTTTATAAGTCATAGGCGTTAATATGAGGATCGCCAGCCCCCCCATTTCTGAGATTGTCCTCGCTGCGGAACCAGAAGTCCAGGGGGTTCGGCTGGGTCTGACCCAGCTCCCCCCACGTCGTGTTTTAGTTGGTCTGAACTAGAGTGGAGCTGATAAAATGGACAGTGAGTGTAGAAACGAGGTAGAATGAGTTGACTAATAAGGTGGCTTATCAGGGTAACTTATATGACATTTAATATGATTTTTTTAGGCATATTGAGTCATTTTTGTTAGCCTGATGGTCATGTGTGGCAGTAATACCTCTTAAATCCTTTTAAATATATTTTAAAAAGTCGTTAGAAAGATTTTTATTATGAAATTCCAGGGTTTAGTTGATAAAACACAGTTATGTGGGTTGTTTTGACCGGTCATATGTCCATTCTAGTGTTTAAAAACGTTCATCGTTTTCAACTAGAACCCGTCTATCATCAGTACACTTGAGATGTAGGCCTACAGAACAGACTTTGTTTTGACGAATGAGTGTGAACGTTGTGAATCGTGAGCGATTATAAAGGCTGTGTTGTGGTGTTCAGGACGGAGCAACGATCGAGAAAATAAACAAAGACACCAGCATCACCTGCAGGTTTCCCACAGGTAAAACCGCGACAGGGTAGACCAATGAAATGAGTCGTAGGCGGAAAACGTAAGCGACACATACTAATTTAAAGACCTAGTACAGATGAGATGATTTTAGACCAATGAAAAGAAGACGTGGGCGGAGTTGGATCAGGTCCGGCTCCACCCCTTTGGACTCCTGGTTCTGCCAACTATCACTCGCTGCAGAACCACAAGTCCAAAGGGGTGGAGCCGGACCTGATCCAACTCCTCCCACGTCTTCTTTTCATTGGTCTAAAATCATCACATTTCTACATCGCTTACGTTTTCCGCCTACGACTCATTTCATTGGTCTACCCTGTCACGGTTTTTGATGCTGGTGTCTTTGTTTATTTTCTCGATCGTTGCTCCGTCCTGAACGTCACAACACAGCCTTTATAATCGCTCACGATTCACGACGTTCACACTCATTCGTCAGAACTCAAAAAGCTTTTTTCACACTCTGGTACAAAGTCGGTTCTGTAGGCGAGTGATAGTTGGTGGGGCCATTTCTGGGTCAGCTAGCTACTCCTTTCTACTCTCCTAAGAGCATTTAAAGCAGAACAGCACCACGGTCATCTGTGGACAGACGCAGCTTTGCTTTAAAACGTGTGGAGGTTTTGGTTTGGTCATAAGACTTTCTGAAATGAGCTGTTTTCCTCTAGGCCAGTTCACACAGCACAGAAGGTTCTGTTTTAGGATTACCAGTATGGGACCATGTGAGACGACTTATGTTTTTATTGGTGTCTGACTTTTTCCAGGTCATTCGAATAGCCGAGCCTTATCTGCCGGAGATCTGTCAGTATGTGCCAGTAAGGCATTCAGGACCATCAATAAGTGGCTTGTCTCAGTGTCTTTGTTTTAACCCTGAAATCAATATCTTCTGACCATAGAGTGTCATGGGATATTGATTGGCTGCGAAAGTGGACGCTGTAGATCATTGGACTGAATTTAATGTCGTTTCCGCTGATCTGCAATCCAAGAACACAGACAGACTTGTTGCATAGACGCTGTGTTAAGCTGAATTTCAGCGTTCTTTGCTTGTCCTGCTGCACCAAGTGTTCAGTAGTGATTAAACCAGTGTCCCTAAACAGAGAAACAGGTTTTAGACCAGATATCTACTCTGGAGTTGTTCTTTCTTGTGTAATCATTTATCTGAGATGATTATGACCAGCTGTTATCTTCGGACTGGGTATTAAGTTGTAAACAAATTGTTCACTATGGTTGTTTTTTTGTTCTAGTAGTGAACCGTCAGACTGAAGCAGCGTGTAGGATTCGTTCAGCCGTGGGCGAAGTCCACTCAGCAGTTTTCCAGCAGCACTACACACTTGGATGAGTCACTGAGGTCCTCCCTCTGTTTGGCGTTCTGTAGGTGGGGATCCCTGAGCAGCGAGATGACCGATGCTTTCACTGTAGCTATGAAGCAAGCGGTCTAGTGTAGATGACGCGGATGTAACGTGTAGTTACTGAGGCCTGCGCTGCACATTTCAGTGGTGGGAGTGTTTTATTTTTTCCCTTTTTGCATGGCTCAGCAGAAGAGTGAGTCAGTACCCAACTGGCAGTGGTTGATGCAAGTTGTAAATAGCCTGTCAGTGTCATTACAACTAATAAACACTTTAAACATTTTAAAATTCCACAGATTTAATGAAAAATATTTCTGCATAATTAAAGTTTAGATGTAAACAAAGTCGTTTAGAGTAGTTCGGTGTGCAGTGCTCTGGTCTAGAGGACCTTAAGAGTCACATTTGTTCAGTGGAGGTGATGGGAACCAGACATCTGAAGTGTTTAATGCCTCTTGAAAGCTTCATCAATTAAGGTTATTACATGAAATGATTTGAGATACAGTTTTTGTGTAAAACATTTATAAAAACCCATTAATGGCAGAGTGGTACATGCAGGGTATTGTGTTTTTTCAGATGTATTATTTTACCATATTATGTATTAAATATTAAAACTAAGAAGACCTGTGTATGTTCATTGGTCATTTCGGATAGTAAATAAATTGGCTGTATTTGCGTAGACATCATGACCCAGCATCATGGCTCCTATCACCACCCCTGTAAAGAAATCTGAGTCTACATTAGGGCTGAACGATTTGTCGAAAATATCTAATTGCGATATTTCCGACTAATATCGCGAATGCGAATAAATTCAATTTTAAATTGAGATGCAGGCCTGATTTTTTGGCCAAGAAGACCAAAACATCCACCTTTTTCTGCTTGAGGCTCGACCCCTGAACGTAGTGCATCAAACTGCCAGTAAGCTGTGGTTGTGATGTCACAACACAGGGATGTTTGGTTGCCTCTGATTGGTCCAACTCACCTACAGCCATTTCCCAAACTCTTATTAGGTTCCGTTTCCCCTCTTAAAAACAACTTAAAACAACATTTTTGCTGATGTACACGCTTAATAAAGATGGTTCTTCAAGGGGTTTTAGTAGACAGTGGTTCTATACAGAACCATAAACACTCAAAGAACCTTTTGCATGTTTAAATGGTTCTTTGCATGGTGAAATCGTTCTTTAGATTGATGGAGAATGTGTTGTATATGGTTCTATATAGAACCCTTTTGTTCTCTATAGGACCAAAATGTTGTTCTATTGTTATAAGCTTGAATCAGGAAGCAACAAAGCAACAATACCAACCCTTTTTGATGCTATACAGAACCACATACAACACGTTCTCCAATCTGAAGAACCTTTCATCAGGCAAAGAACTTTTTATGCATGCAAATGGGTTTCTGAGTGTTGATGGTTCTGTATGGAATGACTGTCTTTACTAAACGACCATCTTTTTAAGAACCTTGAAGAACTGTATTTTAAGAGTGTCGGCTATAATTAAAGAAAATTTGCAGCTCCTGCAATTTGAAAATTGCACTGCTATAAATTGCGATTTATAAAAATGATTCAGTACCCAGTCAGTACCCAACTGGTAGTGGTTGGAAATAGCCAGTCAGTGTCATTACAACTAATAAACACTTTAAAAATGTTAAAATTCCACAGATTTTTAAAAATATTTCTGCATAATTAAAGTTAAGATGTAAACAAAGTCGTTTAGAGTAGTTCGGTGTGCAGCGCTCCAGTCTAGAGGAACTTAAGAGTCACAGTTGTTCACAGTGGAGGTGATGGGAACCAGACATCTGAAGTGTTTAACGCCTCTTGAAAGCTACATCAAATAAGGTTATTACATGAAATGAAATGATTGCTAATACAATGTCTGATGTCAGATGCCTGAGACATTCTTTTACAGTAGTTTTGATGTGAAACATTTATAAAACCCATTCATGGCAGAGTGGTACATGCGGGGTGTTGTGTTTTTTTCAGATGTATTATTTTACCATATTACGTATTACATATTAAAACTAAAAAGACCTGTTTACGTTTATTGGTCATTTTGGATAGTAAATAAAATGGCTATATCATGACCCGGCGTCATGGTTCCTATCACCACCACTGTAAATACATTTGTACATTTGAACCATTTTACATGAAAACATTTCGAAGGACTTTGTTTACATCTTAACATTTTGATTAGGCAGAAATTTAAAAAATCAGTGGAATTCCCCTGCAGTAAAGCTGACGGTGCTCATCTTCACCCAGCAGAAAATGACCTGAGAACATTTATGAAAACCCCAGAAAGTTGTCTGACTGATAAATGGTAGGGAGTCATTTCCAAAGCTGTGATCCACAGGCAGAGGCTTGTCGTCCAAACGTGGAAAATCGGGCTCACTGTTAAATCTGCATCGGTAAAGTTTGTTCAGTGCCGTTATGCATTTTATGAGAACTGTAGGGAGAAACTGGCTCCGGTGTTGAAATCCACAGGAACTGTTGAATTGAGATTTTGTTCTGTTGTCTGTGGTTAATTCCACAAACAGAAGGACCATTTGGGAGTAGTGAAGATTACATGTGGCTTGGAGATTTAAACTTGGCTCTGTTGCGTCTCCAAAGCACTTTTAAACCCCTTCTTGATGTGTTTTAAGCTTTTGGACAGCGATTTGTCTGCAGTTGGTCTTGGTTGCCTTTGCGTCTGGTTCTTTC